AATATTTAAATAAAAACAAGCTGCTGATTATTTCACATTTTACTTGTGAGCAACGGCACATTTAAATCTTACAAATATAGTTATTTGGCTTATATCGTGATAGATATCGTTATCGCCTGAAATGAAAAAAAACATATCGTGATATGAAAAAATCTTATATCGCCCAGCTCTACCATGAACCAATTTTAATGCTTACACAGCAAAAAAATCTGTCAAGAAATATTTTAGTACAACTTTCGATAGGGACGAACCCACACCACTTGATGGATTGTTGGAGCATTATGGCTACTGTAGGCAGGAGCCTTGCAGAGTAATACGAACTCCTTCAACATAATATGACCGTATTGTGTGTGTATAACCTCTTTTTAAATTTTGTGGATATTATACATGTGGATATGTCGGCCAATTTCCACTGGAAATGCCTTTTGGTTAAACTGTCAGCAATGAATTTGCATTTGCACTGTTAAATTTTTAGATACATTTTTAGAATTTCACATAAAAAAAAAACAGGTGATTGTTTAAGTGAAAATACATTGATTTGGGGTTTTTTTTGCACTAATAAAGTTGTGGAGTTGTAAAGTATTTTATCTTGCGTCAATTATATCGTCAGTTATATCGTTATTGCAAATGTTCAAATATATATCATGATAAATATTTTTGGCCATATTGCCCTGCCCTAGCACCTACCATAGATACTCTGAGGGACATGGTTGAATGCCTTATCCAAGTCCACAAAACACATGTAGACTGGTGGGGCAAACTCCCGTGAACCCTCAAGTATCCTCAAAAGGGTCAAGAGCTGATCGAGTGTTACATGATGAAAACTGCATTGCTCCTCCTGTATTCGAGGTCTGACGAATTCTCCTTACCAGCACCCTGGCATAAACTTTCTGGGGAGGCTGAGGAGTATGATCGGACTATAGTTTGAGCACACCCTCCAGTCCCCCTTCTTAAAAATGGGAACCACCACCCTGACCTGCCAATACAAAGGTACTGGAAGCAGTAGCATCTTCTGTTAAACTGCATATAATTTTCACTACATTTTTTCATGCAAAGGCTTACAATAAAGTAACATTATACAAGCAATATTAGATATTTTTCAGTATGTACCATCCTTGTAATCATCTTGCTCTTTGATCTGAGTTGTAAGCGCTTCCATGCCGCTTGGTCCTCTTGAAGAAACATCCTCCTTGGCTGTGGTTGGTCTTTTTTCTTCAGCCCCCTCTTTGTTTTTCAGATTCTCCATGTCCACTATGATCATGATGCTGTGGGAAAGAAATAGCAATATTAAACATAGTAATATTTTTACCTAAAGCTTTTTAAGGACAATAAATTGCCTGTTTAATAATAACTCCACTGTGGGTGCAGATTATGTGCTCCCACTGCTCCAGATTATTCATTCAACTTCTTTCTGATGAATGTAGAGGTATGTATTTCTATTTCAGAATTTATTCCTCAAGGACTCTTTAATACAACATTGTTGTCAAAATTTTGAAAACAATCACCAAGATACTGGAAGTGTCCAGTGGTAGCCCCCAATTTCAATATCCTAGATGACTTCCATCAAATTATCACATTCACAATATTTTCAAAAAAAACCTCTGACCCCTGACCTTGAGGTCAAGGTCACTGAGATTCAAACTTGCCTGAGATTTTGAGTACTTACACCTACAGTATCAATTTGAAACTGCTATGTCGCTTGACCACGTTACTTGGTTGTCCACCTAGCCTCAAAAAGATCCATATCACATGACATGGTAATACGTGGCATTTTACCACTTAGAAAGAGGGGAATGTTTTGAGGGACATTTAGCGTGTTTGGAGTGTGTAGTATAGTCATTTGTTTTGTGTGTCAAAACAATGAGGCGACTAATGTCACAAATGCAGCAAAAAAGGGAGACTGAAATGTAAACGCTGTCTGCACTGATACACCTGCTGTCAGGCATCAATGTGTCAGGCCTGTGATGTGTACAGTATATAACTTTGTTGTTTGCAAAAAATGTGCTAAAATTTTTAACATTTACAATTTAGATTTGCATTTGAAGTTATGAATATAATATGTGTTTAAAAAAAAACTTGTGGTTTTCAGCATAAAAAATCTAAGTTTTTCTTAATTGGATTATGTTTTTTGTACGATTGTAGGTCAGTTGTGTTTATACAGTATTTTAAATTAAAAAAATAAAATAAATAAATAACAAATTAATAAATAAATAAATTTAGGTTGTGCTGAAAATATATGAAAAAAGGCAAGGTAAACAGTTTATAAAAATGAAATATAAAGCTAATATTAAAAGTAGTCAAAAGGGCCCAGTGTTTTGTACACCAGCTGTCTACACCACATTTTCTCCACTGGTTTCAGATAAAATATTCTGACTTCCTGTGCTTGTCCATCCACCCCCTTATTCTTAGCCCATGTGCTAGTCCCCCTTAAACTATTCGTACAAAAAGGTATAGCGGGATTACTGTTTTGCAGCAAACCCACCAAATACCTTGGAATGGAATGTACAGCACTGTACCCTGTTCTTGCCTGAAAAGTAGCTCTAAACAAATCTTTTAGTTCTCCATTAATAATTGTTTTGCATAGTGGTATAGAAAGAAGTGTAGAAATGCAAGTTTATCTATGTAGCTTATAATAATGTGGGATAATAACTTATGGCTGTAAATACTGCAGCCCCCAATCTATTATCAGGTTGTGTTCTCAGAACAGGAAATCACGTGATTCACATACCATTAGTTACTCTCTACTAAAATGTGACAGAGAAGCAGTGTGAAGTGTAGAGTAAGACTTTATAATTCCCTGATGTGGCAATTTGCTTTGTACAAAGTAACACAACAGATACATACAGATAATGCAGAGCACAATACAAGATCCGTGTTTCAAGCCATTATAGTAAACTAAAAAAGGCAGACGCACCGACGGCTCTGCGGAATCTTAAACTTTACTTCCTCTTTATCTACGCAGTAACAGCCATTTTGTTACATCCGGCTTGGAAACAACAACCCAATAAATGTACATACATATTTAATCACCACAATAATGGTAATAGCAGTTTATCTCCCACAAAGGTAATTAATATAGACTGTTATAAAAAAATGGAGTGGATTAATCACTGTCAAAAAAAATCTAAATACGCAAATAGTAAAATGAGGATCTTTTGCTTGTACAAGGTTGAGCAACATGCTGTCACGTCAAATTTGAAAGGGTCTATTCACTTTCTTAACAATTTTTCAACTTTCAGTCTCTGTGGGACCGAGCCCGTCCCAGCTCTCACAGAGCGCGAGGCTGATTACAAAATCAGCTTTGGTTTTTCTTGAATAGTTAGCGTTTGGTCTTCTTTATCACTTACAAAAAGAAAGCATAAAACGACATACCATACGGTAGAAGTTAGATTTTCATCCCGTTGCGTTAGAAAAAATCATTTGGTGTTCGCACCGTCAAGACTGATCGGGAAATCCCAACAACTTTCTTTCTTTCTTTCTTTCTTTCTTACAGTTATATTGGCGGTTGGCAAACAAGTGAAAGGTGCATTACCGCCACCAACTGGTATGGAGTATGGTCTGGAACGACATCCCAACAACTCTTATCATGCCGCGTTCAAGTGGCCTCGGAACTCGGAACTGAGAACGACGTCACTCTCGAGTTAATTACTAGAAACAAACTTTTTTTAAAAATTAAAACGCCCATGGCAGGGTTGACAAAGGCATGTTAAGTGCTGTGTATTTTACTATTTAGCGAGTCACAAATATACAACTGGTAAAGATAACTAGTTTTACAGTTTTACTAATGTATACATGTATTGTACCGTTAATACATGTATACCATGTTTGACCATGACTGAGAGTTCACTTGACCACGGTTAAACTAGCTGCACCTAGAATTTAGTTTCTCATTTCTTCCAGATAATATGGTAAGGGTATTATACTGAACAAGTTTCATGGTCGAACTGAACTAGAGCATTCGCTGTCCGTCTGCTTGCTGTGAGTGCTGTGAGTCAGCCAGCCTATGACTGGACAGTAAATCAAAATATATATATTTATTAACAAAAATTATATTGTCTCAGTACACCAATCCCC